AGATTGGGGGATGTAGGAATTTGGGGATATAAGAATTTCGGAACGTAGGGATTTGGGGATGTAGAGGTTGGAGGATGTAGGGATTTGGGGATGTAGAGACTGGGGGATGTTGGAATTTGGGGATGTAAGAATTTTGGAACGTAGGGATTTGAGGATGTACGGTATGGGGAATGTAGGAATTTAGGAATGTAGGGGTTGGAGGATATAGGGATTTGGGGATGTAGGTATTTGGGGATGTAGGGATTTGGAAATGTAGAAATTTGAGGACGCAGGGACATGAAGAATATACAACTCCAAAAATTTGAGAATCTAATCGTCGGAGTTTCTGGATCATAAGATTTGTAGTCTGAACATTTTGTACCGCAGAATTTGATGATCCAGAAACCAAGAACCAGGAAAATTAGCTAAATTTCAATCTTGCAAACTAAAAAGTCTGCAGTACATAAATATAAAAGTCACAATAACCTTGAAATTCAAAACCATCAAACCATCCTATCAGTTCTCCAACCCCCCATTTCTCTTTCTTGCATTCAGCTTCAAAAATTCCAAAATCCCCCACCTTTCAACTTCCCAAATTAGTTTATTTCATAAATACCTAGTCAACATAACAAGACCTAATATACTCGTACCAATCGCTCGCGTCATTCCATCCCTCGACTTTTCCCTTTTTCCCTCACAACGTTGTAAAGAAAGGAATGGAAAGCTAGTTAGAGAACGTAACAACGTAGCGACCTGGCAATAATCGTAAAAACGGTGGAAATAAAAGCGTGAAAGAAAATGGTCGGTAAGTATAGATCCGTGAGACATGTTTCTGGAAGATACGAGCGTTCGAAGAGCGAATAAAAAACGCAACGTCTCCCGGCATGAAAAATGGTGTCTATGAAAGTGGCGATGAATAGCTGAAAGAAGAAGAAAAAGAAGATAAAGAAGAAGTAGAGTTCTATAACTGTGCCAGCCTGAAAATACTTTTTCGCGGCGTGTCGTCCGACAACGTGCATCTTTTATTATCTGCTGGACACGATATTTTCGGGCTGACGTTCACGGAGTTTGCACTTGCATCTTCGGATCGTTCGTCTTCTGGCGGCCATTTTGAAAATTGATGAAACGATTCGGAGCTTACAATGGATGATTTTAAAGGGATGTTCTATTATTTTTAACTTCGAGTGGATTAGAAAAGAGTGTTTATACAATTTTTGTTTTAACTTGATATTAAAAATGGAGGATTATAAGAATGATAGAGAAAAACATAGAGATATGTGGTTTTATTATTTTTAACTTCGAGTGGATTAGAAAAGAGTGTTTATACAATTTTTGTTTTAACTTGATATTAAAAATGGAGGATTATAGATGTGATAGAGAACAACATGAAGATATGTGGTTCTATTATTTTCAACTTCGATTGAATTGAAGAAGAATGTTTATAAAATTACTATTCTGCTTTGATATTAAAAATAGAGGATTATAGATGTGATAGAGAACAACATGAAGATATATGGTTCTATTATTTTCAACTTCGAGTCAATTGAAGAAGAATGTTTATAAAATCACTATTCTGCCTTGATATTAAAAATAGAGAAAAATATAAGTAATGGAGAAAATCATGAAAACTAAACAGTTTTAACACATGCAAATATTTAAGAATTTGAAAATATGAATATATAGAAATACGAAAATACGAAAATTTGATAATTAACGAAACTGATAACATACAGAAAATTTAAGTTCCTAAATATCTATGAGAAATATGTATCAACATTATATATTCAAGTTTTCCTTCAAGCTTGCTACGTTCCTTTTTGTTAACGTCTCCTATCGAACACGTATTAAAAGTCAGCTCGAAGATTGAGTATCTTCACAACATTTAAAGGTTAATGTATCTGCCATAATAACTTGTTCGCAAAAAGTATATTTTTTCTATGCCGCGAGACGCGCTGAATAATGCATAAGATTCCTCGAGTTCGTTTATCATCCAACTAAACTGAATCCGACACCGTCGGTAAATTACGTAGAATCCATCGGAAGGATGCATAAAAAGGTGATTGATAAATCTCTGCTAACTTCCAAGCTACCAAAGAATTACTGTCGTTTCGACTATACTTCGTTATACGACTCGAGACAGATTTGTTGCGCGAATAAAAGTTTGTTGTGCAAGTAAACAGGGATTGTAATTAGCAAGAAGCTGTAGTTTACGTCTGAATAGAATCGTAATTAAAAGTTGAATAAATACGAAGTAATTGGAGTGGGGTCTTATAAAATGTCTGACGGCAGGCCGCTAAAAATAAAATGTCGCCGAAGTAATTAAAAACCGTTTTAGCACCTTCGTTTTTCTCGCGACCGTATTTCCAGGTAAACGGGGAACAAATTGGTGAAAATGGGATGTCGTTCTGAACGTGGAGAAAAATGTGAAAGAGTCCGTGTATTTTTTTTCGCCATTTTGTTGCTTCGTTTTGCTTTGTGCTCCTTCCGAATTGAATCCTCGCGACGAGTTCGATTTAACGAGAAACGGTGACAATTAACGAGATTAGTGCTGTTTCCAGAACACAATTATGGAGACCTTAGACGATCGATGGGTACATTTAGTCAATATTTTAGGTACGAAGGTATACACTGTCAGTATTGACATTTTGACGGCATTAGGTTCACTGTAAATACGATAGTGTACGAAAATGGAAACTAGAGGATTTCGCGTAATGGATATTTGGGAATTGGAGAATGTTATGATCTGGAATTTTCGGAATTTCAAGGTTTAATTTGGAAATTTGAGAATAGGGAATTTTAGAACAAGGAAATTTGGGAATAAGAGAATTTGGAGATCTGAGAATTTTGGGACTAGGGAATTGAATATCTAGGGATTTGGAAATTATGGAATTTGGGGATTAGGGAATTTGAGAACTAGGGAATTCGGAAACTAGAGAATTTAGGAACTAGGGAATTTGGAAACTAAGAAATTTGAGACTAGAGAATTTGGGAACTAGGGAGTTTGGGAATAGGGAATTCGAGAACTTGGTAATTTGGGACTAGGGAATCTTGGAACTAGGCAATCTTGGAACTAAGAAATCTTGGAAGTAGAGAATTTGGGACTGGAGAATTTGGGACTAGGGAATCTTGGAACTAAGAAATCTTGGAACTAAGAAATCTTGGAAGTAGAGAATTTGGGACTCGGGAATTTGGGACTAAGGAATCTTGGAACTAGGGAATTTGGGACTAGGAAATTTTGGAACAAGGGAATTCGGGACCTAGGGAATTTGGGACTAGGGAATTTTGGAACTAGGAAATTTGGGACTAGGGAATCTTGGAACTAGGGAGTTTGGGGACTACAGAATTTTGAAACTAGAGAATTCGAGGCCTGGAGAATTTAGGGATTAAAGAATTTAACACCAGAAAGTAACTAGGAAATTTCGTGAATTCGAAATTTGCAAACCAGGGCACTTTGTGATTTCAAAATTTGGAAATTCGGCCACTAAAGAATTTGCAAATTTGTAACCTCGATTCCATTATTTAAAAAAATTGAAAACTAGAAAATTTTAAGATTTGGTAATTTTTTAATTTGTATCCTAGGAAACTTCAAAATTTTCGAAGCTCGAGTATTTAAGAATTTTTAGACTTGGAAATTGATGGTGAGATACTGGGAATTTTGTATTAAGAATATACACAGTAGAAGAGAATTTAAAACAAACAATGCAAAACAAACGATTAATTACTCTGGTGTTCATGAAACGAACACAGTAAAAACCGTAATGATCGACGAATTGAAACGTCAAATAGTAATTATTTACCGATTACCGAAAGCGATAATTATTTAACAGATTAACGTAATGTTTAATCGATCCTTCCGACGATACCACATATTTCGTGAAATTCTATTTCTGATACAATTGCGAGAGATTATTCTATCTCTACGTTTGTATATACCCGCACAAATGGGCAGATTTGATGGATCGTTTGATACCGTGTTCCCTGTTATTATCAAACTTCATCCGTTCTGTTTTTAATGGCTTCCTTTCATCGGTTTTCTTCTTCGATTAAGATATAATATGTTCTTGCGTCGAAGGAAAACGTTTCGAACTTTAAGCGAATCGACAGTTGATTGCAACTTAGATTGGAAAATAACGTACTGATAATTGTTTAGTCAATGATTTTTGTATTTGTTTCGAAATATTAACTTGTATGATTCAAGGTTTTTCTCTAAATTCTCTAATCCCCGAATTCCTTTATTTCCAAATCCCTAGATTTCCAATTCCCTAGTCCCAGAATTCTCGAATCACCAAATTCTCTCGTTCCCAAATTTCCTAATTCCGAAATTCCCTAGTCCCAAATTCCCTAGGTCCCGAAATCTCTAGTCCCCAAATTTCCTAGTTCCAAAATTCCCTAGTTCCAAATTATTTAATTCCAAAATTCCCTAGGCCCAAATTCCCTAGTTCCAAAATTCCCTAATCCCAAACTCCCTACTCCCAAATTCCCTACTCCCAAATTCCCTACTCCCAAATTCCCTACTTCCAAATTCCCTACTCCCAAATTCCCTACTCCCAAATTCCCTAGTTCCAAATTACCTAGTTCCCGAATTCCCTAGTCCCAAATTCCCTAGGTCCCGAAATCTGTAGTCCCAAAATTTCCTAGTTCCAAAATTCCCCAGTTCCAAATTACCTAGTTCCAAGATTTCCTAGGCCCAAATTCCCTAGTTCCAAAATTCCCTAATCCCAAACTCCCTGGTTTCAAATTCTTTACTTCCAAATTCCCTAGTCCCAAATTCCATACTCCCAAATTCCCTACTCCCAAATTCCTTAGTCCCAAATTTCCTAATCCTAAATTCCCTAGTTCCCAAATTCCTTAATTCCAATTCCAAAGTCTGAAATAAAAATTCCAAAGTTTCAAAATCCCAAAGTCACAAATTCTCAAGAAATCCCAAGATCATAAAACTCCAAGAGACCCCAAAATATAAAAATTCCCCAAATTTCCAATGTCCCAAGATTGCAGAGTCGAAAGAACAGAAAGTCACTTACCGAGCAGTCATTGACATAACAAAAATCACCAGAAGCCGACGTCGGTACCCAAAGATGTTCCCCATTAAGTGCACCAGGACCCCAATCGGGGGTTGATCGGGGTTCACGGTGGCCACCACTCGTTCCACCCTCTTCTCTCCCTCTGAAACCGCAAGACACTCGATTACAGGCTGACACTTCGATATCCGGTCTGTGCTTGTTGCAGTTGACGTTAATTCCTCTACAGAAATTCCATTAGGACGAGAACAATGCGCGTCACTGGGAATAGTAGCGAGACTATCCACGAAACTCTTTTTTCTTTTCCCGTTCCAATTTTATCATTCATATAATAGAAAATGCGGACGAGTCTCGACAGAGGAATTAAAAAGAATTAAGAAGCTGTTCAAACAATTCGATATTTCGAATTACGATGCGGAATTTTGTTAGCTGGCATCGAAACATTCAAGCGTAGTTTTGTCCATTTTTTTTTATTTATATGGGCATGCGTTTGCTCAAATTAAAGTAAAATGCTGGTAATATGCTAAAATAATATGTTGCATTTTAAGCTTGATTTATGGCAGAAAGTCACATTAAATGCACATGATGTATTTTATATTATTATAAATTATAATTATTAAATTGTAAATTGTAAATTGTAAATTGTGAATTAAATTGTAAACTGTAAATTGTAAATTAAATTGTAAATTGTATATTGTAAATTAAATTGTAAATTGTAAATTGTGATTAAAATTGTAAACTGTAAATTGTAAAGATTTGATATTTTCTTATATTATAAGAAAGTTCTTATTATTTTTAGATAGTATATCATAGCGCAGAAGGGTGAAATAATAAAATGAGAGAAACGATAAAATAGTAAAGTATAGAAACAAGATAATAGCATAGTACAGTACAGCACAGTAGTATAACATTAGTAAAACCAGAAGTACATAGTTTCAAATGTAACCTGTTCAACACATTTTCAAAACACCATAACAGCTTATAAATATTAATATAGCCGAACAGTACACTATAACACATTAACACAGAATTGACAAAGTTTATACAAACCTCTGTAAATGCTCTATTAAACAATCATAAGCGAAAGATACACGAGCAGAATATTCTCTATCAAACTTGGGTAAACTTCATTTAACTCCACTGAATTAGAAATACGAGTTCAACTAACTATAATCAGTGTAATTATTAAACGCACGGATTAAATTCATATTTAACACCTAGAAATCATTGTCATACAATTTAGTCTCAGGCATAATTCTACACCCGAGAAGTGGCTGTAGAAGAGGTGTAGAAAATTAATCAATTTTCACGTAACTACTTGAATATTATTCTTTTAATATTAATACTTGAATTTTTCTGCTTCTTTTTATATGTAACAAAAATGGAGTCGATTTGGTCTACTTCTCAGGTACAGATTTGTTCATCTTTTTATTTATCTTCATTGTTATTTATCGTTACCTGTCCCCATTATTTCTCTGTATGGACTTATCCTTCTCTTTATTTATTTATTCCCATTTTTATTTTTCGTGACTCATCCCCATTATTTCTTTAGTACAGATTTATAGCTGACGTTATTTATTTATTCCCATTTTTATTTTTCGTTGCTCACCTCCATTTTTATTTTTCGTTACTCAGAATTCATTTTCGTTTTTCATTGCCCACCCCCATTTTTATTTTTCGTCACTCACGCCCATTTTTATTCATCGTCAATCAGCCCCATTTTTATTTATAATTATTTATCCCCATTATTTCTCTGTATGGTCTTATCCTTCTCTTTATTTATTTATTTTCGTGACTCATCCCCATTATTTCTGTAGTACAGACTTATAGCTGACGTTATTTATTTATTCCCATTTTTATTTTTCGTTGCTCACCCCCATTTTTATTTTTCGTTATTCACTCCTATTTTTATTTATCGTTGCTCAGCCCGATTTTTATTTGCAGTTACTCACCCTCATTTTCATTTATCGTTACTCACTCCCATGTTTGTTTATCGTTATTCACCCCTATTTTGATTTATCGTTACTCACCTACATTTTTATTTTTCGTTAATGACCTTCATTTTTATTTATCATTAATGACCCTCATTTTTATTTATAGTTACACACTTCCATTTTTATGTATTGTTACTCAGCCCCATGTTTGTTTATCATTATTCACCCTTATTTTTATATATCGTTACTCAGCTCCATTTTTATTTTTCGTTACACAGTTCCATTTTTATTTTTCATTACAAATCTCCATTTTTACTTATCATTAATGACCCTCATTTTTATTAATCGTTACTGAACTCCATTATTTATCATAAACACAAAGTTTCTCGTTATCGTTTCCCAAAAGCAGCCCATTATTCACAACAAATTTATTCAAAAGCGTCGGATTAAAAAAATGGAGATAAACACACACGTTTACATACAACCGTGAAAGAGGCTAAAACGATTAAAAGCAATTGCTACGTTTCAATTATAGAGACTTGTAAAGAATAAACGTTTCGCCAAGCGAGGACGGAAGGGAAGCAACGAGAACGCCTGAAGCTTCAAGATTAACCGGAAGCCATTTTCGCTCGCAGCCGACGATGTGGCTAGCAAAGAAGGAGTTAATATCATCCCGCGGATTCCCGTGGGAGCCTAGTGCGGTGAAAAATTCAAGGACATTTTAAATTTGAAAAAAACCAGCCGGAGTATAATGGGCGGCGCACCGTGCAACTTTAATGATGATAGTCAACCCCACACCCCCTGAACTTCCAACCCCTTTTGGACGACTAAATAAAAATTTTAAGTTGCATTCGCGATACGTTGTGCCTCCGCTCTCCGCATAATTAGTCCGCGGAAATTAACGGGTATCTGGGTCAAACGGGACAGGATAAAGGGATTGTGAAACGACGTTTTTACGTACAACTTGTACACCAGATGCGCTAGACGTCCCTAGGGGAAATCATCACGTGGAAGGAATTCATTGATTTAAAAATTTATGGACTGCTAAACTTTTAAGGGGAGTTTGGCAAGTTTTAAATTCGGAAATATGGGAAGTTGGGGACTTGGAGATTTGAGGATTAAAAGTTAGAGAACTTGGAGAATTTAGGAAGGTGATTCGGAAGTCGGAAAATTTGGGAACTGGAGATTTGAGAATTGGAAATTTGGGAATTTGGGAAATTTAGATGTTTGAGTGAATTTGCTAAATTTGCTAAATTTGTTAACTTGATAACAAATCAATGATTTTAATTAATACAATAACTTCGATAAATTCGAAATTGAAGAAATTTGAAGAACTTGAAAAATTAAAAATCCTAAAATTCATAAACTTCTAAATTCCACAAACCACATCGGAAACCACAACCCAAAATAGACTGTTTACATAATGATGTAGCCAGAAGTGAAATAAAAATGGGTTTCACCAATCCTTCAGTGTCACTCAACCATAAAATTCCACGAAACACGATTCCCATACATTCTCTAAATATAACGAGACTTGATTACGACATATTACGCGTTATGTAGAATTAGATCCTTAATAATGAACGGTTCGCGATCATAAAAGATTCACGAGCATCCTCTCGAGGATACGAGACCATAATACCGAGTCTGAAAATTTCATTTACCAATTGGAGCGTATTCGATCCGTCAGTCTATGGCCCTTTCGAGACCACTCAATATTCAAACGACCATCTCCCCCGTTATCGGAATTCCTTCTATTTATCAAATCTGTCGACGAATGGAGCCTGCGTTCCGATCGAATCCTCAACAACTAAAAGTTCATTCAAGTTCCTCAACGTTTTGACCCGCCACGCCACCGCACTCGAAACTATCGCCAACAATCGCTAATTTTCTCTTTCAACGTATCGAATACACCGGAAACTGGACTTTCACAATGGAACCAACCTGTCGAAATTGTTCCAGATTTCATATTGTATATTATGTTTCATTGCTTTCTGTTGAAGCATTTGTTATTTGGTTGAGATGAAGAATTGGTGTATGGGGTAGTATGTGCACATGTGTAATATGTAACATACTAGTGTATGTATATGGTTCAAGTTAGTATATGTATATGTATAGTGTGCATGTGTAATAGTACATGTATGTTGTACATATGTGTAGTACATGTTAGTATATGTACGTGTATAGTGTACAATATAATAGTACATGTATGTAGCACACGTATGTAGTACATGTTGGTATATGCATATGTGTAATGTATAATATAATAGCGTATGTATGTAGCACATGTATGTAGTACATATTATTATATGTATATGTGTGGAGCATCATACAATAGCACATACATGTAATATATGTTGCTATACACATATGTGTAATGTATGATATAATAATACATGTATGTAGCATATGTATGTTGTACATGTTGGTACACACATATGTGTAATGTATAATATAATAGTACATGTGTGTAGCACATGTATGTAGCACATGTATGTAGTACATGTTGGTATATGCATATGTGTAATGTATAATATAATAATACATGTATGTAGTACATGTTAATGTACGTATATGTGTAATGTATAATATAATAATACATACATGTAGCATATGTATGTTGTACATGTTGGTACACACATATGTGTAATGCATAATATAATAATACATGTATGTAGTACATGTTAATGTACGTATATGTGTAATGTATAATATAATAATACATATATGTAGCACATCTTAGTACATCTATAACATAATATACTACAATATAATAGCATATGTGTATCACACATGTCATATGCATAGTATATGTAACTTAACATATACTTATTCATTCTTCCACTTCATTTTCAACATAAAAGTGCACATATAAGCAGCTTTAATTTTGAAAACCTCAGGTAAAGACTGGCAAATGGAAAAGCAGAACTTATTATGTTGCTCATAAAAGATCTTGTAAAAGAAATAAAAGGGTCTGATGCAATTTGTACCTGACTGTGAAATTAAAAATGTTCCAAATAAGGCAACTTTAATAAAGAGGAGCAAACACGTGGGAATTTTATTAAATAAAAAGGTTGTTGTTTGTTGACGGAGCTTGAAAAATTTGAAATCTTGTTGAACAATGTTTCGAGGATACAAGAAAATATTACCGCAATATCTTCTTCGTTAACACGCAGTACATCACGTTAATTAAACAACGTACACGGGACAT